GAAGCTCCTAGGACCAAATGGGCGCTTCATGGAGTTGGGCAAAAGGGGCATTTGGACGCATGAGCAGATGAAGGAAGCTCGCCCAGATGTTTACTATGAGACTATCGCTGTGGACACCATGATGGAGGAGGATCCTGCATGGTTTGGTGGCATGCTTGATAGAATCAGGGAGCGGGTGGAGAGCGGAGAGATAATCAGCCTTCCCCTGAAGGTGTTTGACATGGAGGATCCTGTTGAAGGGGGAGTAGCTGCATTCCGGTTTCTGCAGCGAGCCCAGCACATTGGAAAGGTCGTCGTCAAGTTTGCTAGCGCAATTGAACCAGTGGAAGATGGAGCTATTGTTATAACGGGAGGCCTAGGCGCGCTGGGTCTGGTTGTTGCCGGTTGGCTTGCAGAGGAAGGTGCTCGGAACATTGTCTTAATAGCCCGCCGCGATGCTCCGCCTGCACCAGGTAACGTACCGGAATGGGACTGGCTATCGAATATAAACTGCAAAGTCAGTTTCTTCTCTTGTGATGTCTCGAACTACGAAAGTGTACGTGGTGTATTCAAGAAGATTCAGAAGACTGTGGCTCCAATAAAGGGGATATTCCATGCAGCTGGAGCTCTTGCAGACTCCTTGCTTGACAGTCAGTCTCTCGAAGGACTTCGTCGCGTTTACAATGGCAAAGTCATAGGTGCATGGAACATCCATCGTGTCTGCGAAGAGCAGGGCATCGACAAGGATCTTCAGTTCTTCGTGCTTTTTTCTTCAATATCTTCTCTCATTGGAAACGTCGCACAGGCTAACTATGCCTCAGCCAACGCGTGTTTGGATGCATTGGCACGGTGGCGCAGAAGAAAAGGGCTTTGCTGTCAGTCAATTCAGTGGGGGCCATGGATTGAGCAGGGCATGGCTGTGGAGATGAGGCAACAGTTGGCTAGGAATGGCATGAAGGGCATCACGAACGAGCTTGGATTTAGAACTCTTCACGACGTTCTTCTTCACCCGGAATGCCCCCCAGTCTTAGCTTGTCAGGCATTCAAATGGAGAGCATTCTTCATCCGATACGTCACCGTCCCTCCTTTGTTTGAGGGGGTTCCACAGGAGGCTGCAGATTTGCCAGAGTCATCCGGGATGACTATGAAGCATCTCTCTGCAGCGGAGAGGAAAGAGTTCATCAAGGCCCAAGTGGCCGCAGCGGCTCGCCAGGTTCTCGGCAGCAGCTCTGCTCCCTCCTTTGACAAGCCGTTGCAGGACCTCGGAGTAGACTCACTCGGTGCCGTTGAGTTCCGCAACCTCCTCTCCAAAAAGTTGGGCATGAAGCTCTCCGCAACTACTTTATTCGACTACCCAACATTGAATGCAATCACTGAATACGTCTTTGAAGCAACGGGGGAAGAAAAGGGTCCCGCTGATGGCAGTGCCGGACTTCAACTGGGGCGCGTCGCTGTTGTGCATGACGGCCTAGCTGTTGTCTCCGTTGCCTGCCGGCTTCCCGGACGGTCTAACTCGCCTGAGGCCGTGTGGCAGATGCTGCTTGACCGCACAGACTGCATGATGGATATTCCGCTTAGCAGGTGGAGCGTATACGAAATGTACAACGACGACTTCGACTTTCCGGGAAAGGCCTATGTCAAACGTGCAGCCTTTATTGACAATGTAGAGTACTTCGACAATACACTGTTCAACATCACTCCTCCAGAGGTTAAGGCCATGGACCCACAGCAACGGATCCTGCTTGAAGTCTCTTATGAAACCTTCATATCGTCAGGCTTCACCAAAACATCTCTCCATAATGCCAACATCGGAGTATTTGTCGGCGTTTGTAATCACGACTGGATCTACCTTATGTCTGATGACACAATTTCCTCCTTTTCGGGAACTGGATCTGCTGGATGCATCATTGCGAACCGCTTGTCGTACGTATATGGATTGAAGGGCCCATCGGTAGCAGTTGACACAGCTTGCTCCTCCTCCCTCGTTGCGGTTGATGTTGCATTCGAAAAGGTTTTCCGCGGAGATTGCAAATCCGCTCTAGTCGCTGGCGCTAACTTAATGTTGACTCCGCATCTGTTCATCGCATTTTGCAAGGCGCGCATGCTATCTCCCGATGGAAAGTGCAAAACATTCGACGCCTCTGCAGATGGATATGCGCGAGGTGAAGGTGTGGCAGCAGCCTTGCTTGTGCCTTTAAGTGAAGCTCAGGAAGCAAAAATGGAAGTCTTGGCTGTTATTCGAAGTACAGCGTGTAACCATGTAGGCCGCAGTGCCAGTCTTATCGCACCTAATGGCCCAAGTCAAGCCGATGTTGTTCGTTCAGCAATTGCCAGAGCAGGTATTAAGCCGGATGACATCTGCTACGTGGAGACTCATGGAACTGGTACAGCACTAGGAGACCCCATCGAGGTGCATGCTTTGAAGGGCGTTTTCGCTAATGGGAGACCTAAAGATGCCCCACTTGTTCTGGGCGCTGTAAAGACCAACATCGGCCACCTCGAGGGGTCGTCAGGAATTGCAGGGTTGATTAAGGCGATACTAGTATTGCAGAACAGGACTGTCCCTCCTAACATCCACTTTAAGAAGCTTAACGAACACATTAATGTCTCCGATTTCCCTGTTCAGTTTCCCACAGATACTGTTCAGCTGAAGGCAAGCGGGCCATCAAAGCGACTCCTTGCTGGCGTCAGTTCGTTCGGGTTTGGAGGGGCCAATGCTCACGTAGTTCTTGAGGAGGTACCACCCAGTCTCCGGTCTGTCAGGCGACCTGTAAGCAGGCAGAAAATCTGCTTTATGTTTACTGGACAGGGGTCGCAATACGTTAACATGGGGAAGGTCTTGTATGAGGAAAATGAGACATTCCGCTCGAGTCTGCTTAAGGCAAGCGATATCGTGGTCGGCATTTTGGGGGTTTCCATAATCGACATCCTCTACCCATCCCCGCAAAAGGAAAGTGAGGCGAGGGAACTTCTTGCCGGCAACACCATTTCCCAGTTGGCTTTGTTTGCATTTGAATATGCACTAGCTGAATTATGGATGTCCAAGAGCGTCTTCCCTGATATGGTCCTCGGACACAGCCTCGGCGAATACGTAGCAGCTTGCGTGGCAGGAGTTTTCACTCTTGAGGATGCTCTTCAACTGGTGGCTGCTCGCGCCAAGATCATGGGAGACACACCCTCAAAGGATGGGGTCATGGCAGCAGTCCGTGCCACAGAAGAACAAGGTGAGAAAGCCATTTCCGCCTATTATGGAGAAAAAAAACGGGAGTCGTCAGTCGCCGTTGTCAACGGGTTGAAGAGCATTGTACTAGCTGGTCCACGAAAGGATGTATCAGCAATTCTCGACCAAATGGAAGCTTCCTCCAGAGCAAAATTTCTCTCTGTTTCTCACGCGTTCCACTCCCCCTTGGTTGAGTCGACGTGTTCGCCATTCAAAAAGATAGTGGAGCAGGTGCACCTAAATGCGCCGCACGTTGAGATGATTTCCACTGTCACGGGTGAATTGTGTGACGAGGCACTTAGACAACCCGATTACTGGGCTGAGCACATCATTAAGAAAGTTCGGTTCTGTGATGCTGTCCAGCAGTGTGTTGCGAACGGGGCCACTTTGTTGGTAGAAATTGGGCCGCGTCCCACCCTTACGTTAATGGGAAAGGGGTGCCTTAAGGATCATGCAGCTAGTGCTCTTCAGTGGATTAATATGGTGGATACAGAAGGCGTCAAGCCGGAAACGATTGATGCTGTTGCTGCTGCTGCAGGTGGGCTATAATACAGGCTACCGTTGAGCCCTCCACGCAGTTACCAATTGGTATTCTCGTAGAATGGAGTTTGTCTATCGTGTCTTTCCAAATGCTGTGTGCAGCAAGAGGCGCTACACCGGCGTCCGTCGTCTTCAACAGGAAGTACTTCCCATGGAGAGATATCTGCCACCCGCTGCTTGGCCGCAAGGAAACTCGTGAAGACGGCCGCGTGGATTTTGTCGGCGGCCTAGGCGAAGAGGCGGAGTTGCTATTTGCTGATCACGTAGTCAAGGCTCAACCAATGCTGCCCGCAACATCCATGTTGGAGCTTATGGCAGTGGCCTCCAGGGAGGTGTTAGACAAAGGAGCAGCGGCAAGCCCGCCGTGCTTGTCCCAGCTTGTCTTTGAAAAGCCACTCACCTTCCAACCAGAATCAAAAGTATCTATATCCGTTTCTGTCGATTCGTATGGCCAGGTGCGACTAATGAGTACTTCAGAAGCCGATGAAGGAGAGGAGCGGATTCACGCTCATGCCCAAATTCTCACGAGTGCAATTGAGCTGCCAGACGTCGACAACAAAGGCATTCTTAAGGCTTGTCCTGATGAGGTTGACATGGCCACTGCATATGCAGAGTTCCAGAAGGTTGGCTTGTCATACGGTCCACGATTCCGCACTATCAAGCGCGCTTTCAAGGGTGAAAATGCCGTTGTTGGGCTTCTGCAGGCTGTGAGCCCCAAAAATTTCGAACGTGGATTTCGAATGCATCCCGCTGTTATGGACGGTGCGCTACAGCTATCAGCCATTTTACTATCGGAGAAAGGGCAGCGTAGGGCTATGATTCCATTTTCCATTGAATCTGTCACCATGCTAAGCGCGAGCGCAGACAAGGAAGTATGGGCGAGGGTTTCACTTCTGTCTAGGACATCAACGGCGGCCACCGTGGACGCTCAGCTGTTTACAGCCGATGGCAAGGTAATAGCCGATTTTGGCGGGGTCACATTCCGCCAAATTGATATGGAGCCATCTGCTGCGGTACCTCGAGATCTTTTGTGGTACACCGAATGGATTCCTGCCTCGAAGCTGGAGGCGCAAACTACAGCAGAAACTGAAAGTGAGAGTATTGGCCAACTATCGCCACTTAGCAACAAAGTGCAAACCCCCCTCACGCCGGAACCAGCTGACGAAGACAATGCAAATCCTCAGTCAGACGACATTGAACCATGTTCAACGGACACGTGCAGCACAGCAGAACCAACGAGGCCAACCGTCATTTTCCTCGACTGCACTGGAGACCACGAAGCCCTGCGCAGTGACTTCTCCGACTGTGAGGAGACGACCGTTGTGTGGCTCACCCAGCCTACAGCTGAGACAATTGCTAACACCCTGTCAATGCCCGATGCCTCTTCAGCTATCGCGTCGGAGAAAATGTTATTCGTCCTCGCACTCACATCCACCTCGACTCCTCAAGACACTCTTTCTTCAGTCCTGGAAATAGCCAAAATCATGGCTTCCCAAAAGGCTGCCCAGTTTTACCCTATGTGGATTCTTACTTGCGGGACCCAAGGGCCAACATACGACTGTGTGCACCCACAGAACGCGGGGATCTGGGGTCTTGTACGTTCTGTGCGCCTGGAGTTGGACGCTAGTGGAGTGTCGCACTTCATTGGATGCGCAGACATTGAAGAGGGACTGGATATCGCTAGAGCAGTTAATGAAATCATGGATCAGCATCTTGTTCATCCGCAGGAGTCGGAGATGCTTGTTCGTTCTGCAGACTTGGGTTCTGGTCTCCAAGTGCTTTTCCCGAGACTTAGCCGTTCTGGATTAGTCGTGCGTGGCCCACTGGAGTTGTATTTGCCTGACCGCGGAGCAGTGACAAATTTGGTACTTCGTCCGCAAGCGCATGTGCAGCCTGGTTCACTGGAGCCAGGCCAATGCCGCATTCGTGTGCGCGCAGTTGGCCTGAATTTCCGAGATGTGTTGAATGTCATGGGTCTTTATCCGGGGGACCCAGGACAACCCGGTGCAGACTGCGCAGGTACAGTAGTGGCAGTTGGCGACAAGGTCTCCGGTCTCAAGATCGGCGATAGCGTATTTGGTATTGCCCAAGGGTGTCTCAAAACGTTCGTCACAGCGTCTTCTGACTTGTTGAGACCGATGCCTGCCACATGTTCTTTCGAAGAAGCAGCTGCATTGCCGGTGGTAGCAGCGACTGTAGAGTATGCCTTGGGGCAGCTGGCTGAAGTTAAGGCTGGTGACAAGGTCCTCATACACACGGCAACAGGCGGCGTAGGACTTATTGCCATCCAGCATTGCCAGAAGGTAGGGGCAACAGTTTATGCAACGTGCAGTGGGGGTGTCAAGGAAGAGCATCTGAAGTCCGCCGGGATCCAGTATATCACAACTAGCCGAGACTCCAAGACCTTCGCAAAGGAGATGCGCGAGTTCCTAGGACCTGATGGACACATAGATGTAGTGCTGAACACTCTCGTAGAAGATTACATTCCGGAGTCCCTGAAGCTCCTAGGACCAAATGG